CACACACGCACTATTAACACACACACACTCACTATAGCACACACACACACACACACACACACACACACACTATAGCACACACTCACTATAACACACTATAGCAACCACTCACTATATATAACACACACTCACTATAGCACACACACTCACTATAACACATACTATAGCAATCACTCACTATACATAACACACACTCACTATAACACACACACACTCACTATAGCACACACACACACTATAGCACACACTCACTATAGCAAACACTCACTATAACACACACACACTATAGCACACACTCACTCACTATAACACACACTCACTGTAGCACACACACACACACACACACACACACACACACAAACTCACTCACACACACACACACACACTATTTACACCAGGAGAACCTGAAGGAGAGCATGGAGGACGTTAGGGTTTTACTATAGTACAGGTCCCAGAAGTCCTCAGTCTGTCCTAAAAACGAATGCAGTGACCCACATCAGCCCGTCTAAAGTTACCCACAAACACCAGCGACACAAACCAGTTTAACCTCAAAAACAGCCTCTCTGACACAGAAAAACACTGAAGGCTTCAGGAAACCGTATGGTTCTGGTAATCTGGATCATCTACAGTGTAATATTTCCAGCGATGCAGTGAGCTTATTTAAAGCCTGAACACACACTCAACACATGCTTTATAATCACACACATAACATACGAGCTTCAGAAGATCAGTGTTATACAGTCAAAGCTGCTGGAGATGTTATTGTAGTGATCCACTAGTGCAAATCACTTACACAAACAATAACGTTCACGAAATCTCATTCATCTTCATTTATGTCTTGAGGATTTCTCAAAATACCTTGGAATAATTCGTTTCAATTTACCAAGCAGCCAATCATACGCCATCATTTTACAGGAAAATAAATACGAACGGTGACTTTATAGTTTAATTAATAACCTATTAATTCAATTAACAAAAAAAACATTTTTAATTAATAACCTACTCAGCTGAACCACTGGCCACAAAAGTGAGTACACCCCTAAATGAAAATGTCCAAATTGGGCCCAATTAGCCATTTTCTCTCCCCGCCCTGGTGTCATGTGACTCATTAGTGTTACAAGGTCTCAGGTGTGAATGGGGAGCAGGTGTGTTAAATTTGGTGTTATCGCTCTCACTCTCTCATACTGGTCACTGGAAG